CCCGGAGTCCCAGGCTAGCTGGGGTGCTGATAACAACTGCGTGGCTCTGCTTAGCCACCCGGGTCCCGAGGCCGTGAATCCTGACACCCAAGGGTTGCCCAGACTGGACCGGAATGGGCATCCACCTTCCCAGCAACTATTGAAAGCCAGCTGGGAGGTTTTAATAGGCTATTTTAAGAACTTTTTTTTTTTTTTAATCTCCTGGAATAGCTTCAGTCAGCATTAGCAGCCCTGTGACAACCCTGTGTCACTTGCCACCGTTCTTACTCTTTGCTAATAAAGCTTCGGGTGTAGATGGAAGTGACAATTTCCCCCCAATTTGGCCCCGGAAAGCGGTTTAGAGCCGTGGCCCAACACAAGTTCAAGGCTGCAAATGGCTTCAAGAATGGCCTATCTGGTGAAAATCTGACCCCTCGTTGTATGGGGCAGGGGTTTTCAACCTGGTTTAATAAGTGTACCCCCAGCTAAAGTGTGCCCCCAGCGGCCGAACGTGGAGCGGAGGCAGCGGGGAGTGGTGAATGGTGGTGGCCGCTGCATGCAAGCTTCCTCCCACCCACATCCGAATGGCCAGGTGGCGCCTGTGCAGCCCACAGAGCAGTGCTGCTGCCCTCACCCGGCCCCAGCCCTGCCCCTGGGAGGTGGCGGCGCGGGGTGGTGGGTGGTGTGTGAGCCGGGGGCGAGCCGGGCCTGTCTTTGCGCATGCGGGCTGTGGCCAGCAGCCCGGGCACGCGGGGTCGGAGAGGACCGGTGGCGAGCTAGAATTAGTTACGGACGCGTAATGGTTGATTTAAAGATTGTTTACTTACACCAAAGATGGTTGTGGTGTAGGCTGGACAGTTTCCAGGTTCAGCTCCACTTAAATCCTCGTTAGAGGACTACGACAATTCGTTCTTTGCCCCGGAGTTATTGAAGCTCCGCGGGTTTGGTAGTTTCTTTGCCCCGGAGTTATTGAAACTCCGCGGGTTCGGTAGTTTCGCGTACAGGAAGGGATACGTCTAGGAATTTATCGGCAAC